AAGTGGCGTTCCCCCAAACACCATGACTCCAGGTGCCGCTGGCAGCACAGCTACTGTTGGTCCAGCACAGCAGCAACAGTACTACCAAGGATACCAGTCTCCCCCTCAGTTTCAAGGGTAATAGTATTTTCTAAAGATAATAATCGTTGATGTGTAATTCCTTAAGGGGACCGTCTGGTCTTTTTTTGCCATTTTTCTCCCATCTTGCCGAAATCGAGTTTAATGCATTTTCAAGGATTTTCAAGGTCTCTGATTCTCTCCTGAAAATTTCAAGGCCTGACTGTTTTTTTTTTTTTTTTAGGTGGTAGCAGCCATTTTCAATGTCGACCGAATTATTATTTTTTCGCGTAACCCTAGAAAATCGGCATTAGTGACGTAATGATTAGAGATAATTAAAAAATGAGATTATTTTCTAAAAGCTTATTAAACTTCACATTAAATGAGACCAACATTCATTTTTTTTTTTGGAATAATTAAAACAATCTGGCAAGTGTCCAAAAAATGATAATGAAGAAATTTTTCATACAAATAAATAAACATGATATGCCATTCATATCAAGTATTTTATTTTCTGTATGAATTCATCATACATAGTTTGATCTAAGGCCCGTACTTTTAAAACCTTTTGTCAAGTGCTGGCGAAAGGTTTTGCCAGGCAATCGGGAATTTCTTACCATTAAAAGCATGACAGTTGTTCGTTAGGCGAACTTTCGCCAGGGCTGGCGAATGATGGTATTGGAACAACCTGGCGAAGCAGATTCGTGAGATCTGTTTGAATACCATTTTCTTGCTTTCAAATTATAAATTAAAAACATATTTGTGTATGATATGATGTAGGAATCATATTGTAATTCTGAAGTATCTTTAAAATCATAATTTATTATGAAAAAAGTGTATACGTAGATTTTTCAAGACCATTGATGTTCCAGCCGAGAGCTCAAGACATCAGCTTTAATCCTTCCCCCCCACCCCTGAGATGACTTATTTAGATTTTGGTTGTAGGGATAATTTTCCTTTCACAAATGTTACCAAAAGTGTTTTGATGTTGGCATGTTTGCTTTGGGCTATAGAAACATAGCTGTAGTGCTCCACCGCCCTATAATGAGGCGTGTCTATTGATACCCTTGTAAGCCTACAGTTCAATATCTTATATCAGTTAGATATAGTAAAATGGTAATTTTTTAACTCCTTTGTTAAAGTATAAAGTTATTTTTTGTATAAAAGTATAAAATTGATATAGTATAGTATAAAATACTTTTAAAATCTTTCGCCTGGCGAAGCTTCCCCAGGTGAACATCGGAGTGAGGGAGACCTTACTTTTAAACCCAACGTTCACCAGGGCGGACGATTGCCAGGCCTGGCGAACAAAAGGGATCGCCAGGCGCTAACATCTTGCATTCCTGATAAATCGCAAATTTGTAACATTTGCAGTGCGTTATTTAAACATACAAGTAAATATATATTGTTGGCACATATTAGGGATTTTTTTTTTTATTATATTCACATAGGCATTGTATCAGTTAACCAAATGTGTATGGGCTTTTTCAGTGTCCACTCAGGCCACCAAAACGGGGTTTATTTGTATGGGCCAGGAGAGTGCTCCGGGGTTTTTCTCTCGTTATGCTCACCACAGCGACTTGCTTCCCAGGTGCTCACTGTTACCAGCTTCTTGACTTTGCCAAGATAATAGCCATTTGAAATAATATTGTATACTCCATATTAGCTGATCATAGTGTTTATGACCCTGAGTAGAAGAATCAATATTGTAGGGGAATATAACAAATATGAACCCTTCATTTTCTTTATTTCTTTAAATGAACTTTGCAAATGAAATGCATAATTTCTTATGTAGTGAATGCCACATACATGAAGAAATCAACTTGTAACATAAACAAGTTGGTAATATGATGCTTATTTGCACTTTGAAGTACCTTTGTGTGGTAGATTTTGAAACATCATAAACCCATATTGCTACCTTACATTGTTTGAAAAAGGGAAAAATCTATGTTCAGATCAGTCAAATACCCAGATGCGAAGTTCATACACACAAACGAACACACACACAAACGAACACACACACAAACGAACACACACACAAACGAACACACACATACGCATACACAAACATACGCACACACAAACGTACGCACACACAAACAGACACACACACTCACAAATGTACGCACACACAAACATACACACACACAAATGTACGCGCACAGACACACAAACGTACACGCACATACACACACACAAACATACGCGGACACACACAAATGTATGCACATACACAAATGTATGCGCACACACACACAAATGTACGCGCACACACACAAACATACGCACACACAAACATACGCACACACACAAATGTATGTACACACACAAACATATGTACACACACAAACGTATGCACACACACAAACATACGCACAAACACAAACACACACACAAACGTACGCACACACACTAACTTACGCACACACACAAATGTATGCAC